GTTTGCCAAGGATGAAGAGCGGGTAGTCCGGGAGAGCTGCGAGGTGGCGCTGGACATGTACGATTATGAGAACAGCACTGACTTCCAGTATGCTGACAGTCTGAGCAAGCTGAAGGCTTTCAGCTGAAGAAGCAGGACTTCTCTCAGCTGCCCCCCCCCCCATGCTTTTATTGGCCATTTGAGTGTCATTTGTTGTCTCTGGTTTCCATAAGAGTGCTGGAAGGAGACCATGTGGACAAAACCTTCCTGCCTCCGTCATTAATTAATTTTATTTTTCTTTTGCTGTACTTGGTGGAGGGGATACCACAGCTGTTATCAAGGACTTTGAATTACGTTGGTGAAAACTAGTTGCCATTTTTATTAGCTACCCTTAAAAGAACTCTTCCTCACCCTATGAGCTGGCCCCACACAACTTGTAAAGCACCAAGACAAATGAAGCTCCCTTCTGTCTCAGGTGAATCATAGAATCATAGAGTTGGAAGCAACCTTGGAGGTCTTCTAGTCCAGTGGTCGCCAACCAGTAGTCCGCAAGAAAATTTTGGTGGTCCACAGAGAAATGTCACCCCAAAAGCAATTAATCCAGGCTGCGTGGGAACACAAGGCTGCGCCGCACACATGGCCCACAGGAACACAAGGCTTGCATCCCTTGCATTGCAAACAACACAAGGTAGTGGGGGGGGGAGGGCGGAGGGGGGAACTTGCCCCAATCGCCCCACACACCTCACCTGGTCACCGGGCTGCTTCTTTCCGCTTCTTCTGCTTTTGGTTGCATGCAAGGAAAGCAGCAAAAGTCTGTCTTTCTCTTCCCCAAACTCTGCCAGAAATGAGTCTTTGGAACCCTGCACGGCTTCCTCCTCCAAGAGGCTGTGCTGGTGTGATAAGTCTCACAAAGACTCATTTCTGGTGGAGTTTGGGGGAGAGAAAGAAAGGCTTATGCTGCTTTCCTTGCAGGAAGCCAAAAGTCTCTCTCTCTCTCTCTCTCCACCTGAGAATGGAGCTGGAGACAATATCCTGCGATCCCAAAGAGAATGATCGATCAGTAGGAAAATGGGGTGGGGAATGTTCCTGCAGACTTTTTTGGGGATTTTTCCCAGTGTCTCTGGTCCATGGATTTAAAATTATCAGTTTGGTGGTCCCTGAGGTCCAAAAGGTTGGCAACCTCTGTTCTAGTCCAACCCCCTGCCCTAGGCAGAATCCTTAATCTATGCTGGACAAACAGTTGTCAAATCTTTTCTTGAAAACCACCAGCGATGGAGCACCAACAACAAGCAAGCTGTTCCATTGACTAATAGTTCTGCGAGGAACTTTCTCCTTAGTTCCACTGACTAGTTCTGTTGATCCAGTTATTGCGGAAATAAACAGGTAGCAACAACCAGGGAGAGATTGTTCTTCAAGTAACACAATCCCAAACTACTATGAAGGGCTTTAAAGGTGACAACCAGCACCTTGAATTACACCCAGCAGCACACTGGCAACCAATAGAGCTCACCAATAGTGGTGTTACATGTGCCAAACAAGCATCACCCTTTACAGCCTGCACTGCTATGTTCTGTACCAGTTGAAGCTTGGGAATGCTCTTCAAGGGTAGCCCCATGTAGAGTGCATTGCAGTAATGCTTATTGGATTTATCCGTATTGTTGCAGAATAAGACACTAGGTTAGAAATTGAACTTTCAAATTTAGAGCAAGGCTTTTCTGTTCCACTGCACAAGATAAAATATTTTCTCCTGAGATCTACTTGGGCATTGGGCAAAACTTCAGGGAATTAAGATCCATGACAGAACTATTTTTCTTAAATTCAGTTCCTGTGGGGATGGAAGTTTCACTTACAATTACAAGGGAAGGGGAGGGGTTTTCCTGCATCTCATTTATTTCTTCAGATATTCATTTGGAGCTGTAAGTTAATTTACCATTTTAGTGGGCTTTGAATTTATTTTTACTAAGCAAAGATAAAAATCTTATGTTCTTTAAATGGGCTAATCACACACACACACACCTAATTCTTGAGATGAATTTCACTGGTTTTACTGGTTTTACTCCTTAATTTGACACTCCGACTGCCTAACCTTTGGCAAGACTGCATATAGTCAAAATTGGAATTGGCAGAAGCAACCCAGTGCTTTCAGTTAAGTAGATTAGATCTTCAAGATCAAACTAATGGGAACACAATGGATTTCATCTGTTAGCAGGGCATGGAAAATATGGCCTTTAGCTGCATGACATGTGAGCTGATAAAACTTCAAAGGAGGAGATAAGCTAAATGACTTTCCCACTAGCCTTGAGTGGGACAGATGGACTATGGAAGATTTGGAGGGGTGATTTTGCTCCTTGAATGGACTAATCTTTCGTTTTAGAGTTGTTTTGTATTTATTGTTTTAAATTTGAAAAGGCATCCAGAGTTGATTGTAGCCTATAATTTAGTTCAGGATCCACCAAACTTGGCAACTTTAAGACTTGTGGACTTCAACTTCCAGAATTCCTCAGCCAGCTATGCTGGCTGGAGAATTCTGGGAGTTGAAGTCCACAAGTCTTAAAGTTGCCAAGCTTGGAGACCTCTGAATTAGTTGATAAATGCATCAAAATCGGGTGGGATAGGACAGGGTTAACTACCGGGCGGTATTTACCAGCTTCCCTGCCTGCTGTGAGCCACAAGCCTGTAAATCATCATTAGCAACACTGAGTGCAGAGAAGCAACCTTTGAAACAGCCCTCTTTTCTTGTTTTTTTAACGAGCTGTGCATAGTTCACAGCTGAAGTTGAAAAATCAGGAAATAAAGATCAGGTAAGAGCCCAGGTGGGTGGGTGAGTGGGTGGGCAAAAACATCAGCAGACATAGAACTGGTTCTATGTCTGCTGCTCTTCAGAGCTACTGGTTCTACAGAGGTGGACAGAACCGGTAGAAACCCACCCCTGATCATACTCTTTTTGCTTACTGTACAGATATGCAGGGATTCATGGACCATTTATAACAAAGTGAGAAGCAGCTCAATGCCATCACAACCAGATAATTTTGAAGTAAGAGAAGAGCACTGTGGGGGGAAATAAAATAAGACAATGTGTCTAACCATCCGTGTGTGCATGAGTGTGAGAGAAATTCAAGGTGGCTGCTGCAATCATATGATCAAAGCCACCATCTTGATATTTACTGCCCCTGCCACAACTCAATTTCCATATTGGTGGTGCCCTGAACAGTCTGAACTTGGGCTACTGGGACTGGGTGGCAAAACTGCTGGTTTTAAAAACTTCATATGATTGTCTCTGTATCTATGTATTGAGGTGCTAGACATTAGTTCTATAAATAACTCAAGGCATCAAATACACATAATACTTCTTCCTCCTCTTTTTCTCACAACACTTGTGTGGTGGATTGGGCTGAGAGACAGTAACTGGCTTTCATGTCTAAGGCAGGACTAGAACTCACAATCTCCTGGATTCTAGCTTGGCTTAGCCATTACACTAAACTGGCTATATTTTTGTAGAAAAGTGTGGCAAAATTAAGACCCTAAATGCACCAACAAAACTCATTATTTTCCAATCATTAGGAGTGGGTGTATCACTGACCACTCCCACTCCTGCCTACATACAAGTAATTAACCACCCTTTGATCTGTCCTTGGGTTCACGTAATGCTCCTGACGGCTGCATTTTGTTTTTCTAACAGATGAGAAAGAGGAAATTGGATTTGTTTTCCCATCAGCAGGAGGGTATCTGCCAAAAGAAACAAACAAACAAAAAAGACTTATGGACAGTTTGCTCTAAAGAATAATTGTTGTTTTTGTTTGAGAAGGTGGGGCTGGAAAAAATTGAGAGGTCTAAGGCAGAGGCCTTCAAATTTGACAGCTTTAAGACTTGTGGACTTCAACCCCCAGAATTTCTCCTGCTGTCATGTTAGCTCAGGAATTCTGAGAGTCTTAAATCTTAAAAATCTTAAACTTTCCAAGTTTGGAGACCCTTGTCCTTGAGTATATGCAGAGCACAATTCGTTAATATCAGGAGGAGAAATGACACAATTCTTGGAACTTATATAAGCATGTCAAAGGATAAATTAAAGAAGAATATCATTTTATTAGAGGGGGGGAAAGCTGACATTTCTTAATGGTATGCAGGCTAGTAGTCTTTCCATGGGCACCCAAGAACTGGGAAGGATCAAATCATGCCATGCTTGTGTGTAGCTTAACAATTCCAAATTGTAGCCTGGGAGGACAAAGAAAGAATCCTCCTTTAAAATGCAACAAGCATTTTAATCAAATTTTGCTTTCCCGTTTCTGTTCGCGTGTGGTGTGTTTCATGTACATGACTGCTATTTAACCTTATGGAAAACGCTGCACAACCATCACTCCATATTTTCCCACTTGACAGACTACAGAGGAAAATAAAAAGGACGTTGAAAAAAATACTGGGGTTGGGGAATCATGAAATAAAAACAAAATCCTCTGGAACTATTGTTGGAATGAGATGGGAGGAAGGAGACACAGGACGTGGGCTTCATCTCAAAGGGCCCTCAGCTTGTATGCAAGCACAGCCTCATTCCACTAGGCAGGATAATCTAAAGCAGAGGTCTCCAAACTTGGCAACTTTAAGACTTGTGGACTGTGCTGGCTGGAGAATTCTGGGAGTTGAAATCCACAAGTCTTAAAGTTGCCAAGTTTGGAGACTCCGGCTGAAGGAAGATGTGATTTGGTTTTGCACGTGAAGCCTTAATGCACTGTCCCTCCTTTCCTTCCTTCCTTTACAATATTTTTTTCCTTGATGGCTCAATCAGCATATTTTCATTTCTCACACCCCCATTATCTGTCCCTCTTTCCCTCCTTCCTTCCTTTCCTTCCTTTCTCCCAATAAAAAAAGTATCCTTGATGGCTCAGCATATTTTTAATCTCTGACATCCCCTATTGTTTATCCCTCCTCTCTCTCTCTCTCTCTCTCTGTCTCTCTCTCTCTCCCTCTCCCTCCCTCTCCCCCTCCCTCCCTCCCTTTACAATAAAAATTATTCTTGATGACTCAATCAGCATATTTTATCTCTGACATCCCTGTTGCTTTTTCTCATTTGTCTCCTGATGTTTAATCCACTCTGGTTGTTCTGCCATTCCACAGGGTTTTGCACGCCTTTCCATTGATCTAACTGGTTGTACATTTTTCTCCTATTGAGGCACAGCAGCTTGGTATCGGTTTCATAAAGCCCTAATGAGGAGTCATTATCAAGTGCCCTCCCGTTCCAAGTCCATACTCCAGGTTGCAAGGAAAATAATCCATCCCTTCCTTCTAAAGCAGTAGCAACAAAGGTGCAAGGAACACACTGTGACACACAAGGCTTCCAGACTGAAGAAAAGAAAACGACAATGAACTTGTTTTTCTACTGGACCGTGTTTGTAGGAGCTGTCTTCACTCCCTGTTCTCGTGGCCAAGGTATGGAACAGCGTTGGGTGGGAAAATCTGAGGGCCATGCTGGGAAGGATTTGGGGGCAGCTATGTAAGGCCCAGTCATGGGATTCAAAAAATTTTACTACTGGTTCTGTGGGTGTGGCTTGGTGGGCATGACAGGGGAAGGATACTGTAAAATCTCCATTCCCACCCCACTTCAAGGGAAGGATACTGCAAAATCTCATTCCCTCCCCACCCAACTAACCTGCTTTCCAGCTACATTTTCCTGTGCAGGGCAACAAAAGAAGACCCAGCTCAAACTCCGGAGGCAGAGAATAGATGGGGCAGGGCCAGTCAGAGATGGTATTTGCCGGTTCTCCAAAACTACTCAAAATTTCCGCTACCGGTTCTCCAGAACTGGTCAGAACCTGCTGAATACCACCTCTGGTAAGGCCCCATTTGTGTCAGGAACCTTGTGTAACATTTATATTAATTAATATACAAGACTCAGAAGCCGCTTCAATCAGCTAGCTCTGAGTGGCATGCAGTTCCTCAAAAATGTAATTTTGGATTAAAAACAAACAGACATCCAGTCAAATTTTTAAAGATATCATATATTTAATTGCAATTATCAAATAGGGAAATCCATCCAATTTAAGGAAAACCAATTCATCAGCTAAGGGGATAGTCATAATAGCCCTTCATGGCTTCCTGAAGTGACCAGGTATTATTGTATGTGGTTGTTTAATAAAGTTCTTGTTTTACAGTGATTTTTAAAATTAAAACAGGAAAAAGTACAACTCAAGCTATTATATCAGATTCAAAACTGGCCTTAAATATTTTTTTAAAAAATCTAAGTGGCTCCTTAGAGCTTATAAAGTTGACCATTTTTACACAGCAGGAAATTCTTGAAAAATCAGAAGGGATTTTATTATTTTCATAAAATGTTTGACATTCCAATAGAAAAGTTGAATCACAAAAAATGGCAATATTACAGGAATTCAAAAGATAACTTTCATCCAGTAGGCTTAAAATTATTAAACATAACATTATTAAATGTAGTATTTATGTGCAACAAAGATGAAATTATTGTCTATTACCCCATCCAAGTTCCTAGATAATTTAGTTTGATTTAACATTCCCTTCACAATATGTAAATAAAATTAAATAAAGATTAACTTAAAAAGAACATGAGCCTTCAAATAGGATACGGTTCTTATATTACATTTTAAAGTGACATGGTTTTGTAGCCTAAATTATCAACAGTTTGACCCATTTCCAGACTTTGTGAATAAATCTTTTAAGTGTGACATTTAAAATGATTAAATTAAACTCAGGGAAAATTGACCATAGCAAGCACAAAATTCAATCTGAATATCATTTACAGCCTTTGGAGACAGCTGGTGTTAAGCTTTCCAACTTTTGAAGAGATGAGATCCCTGACCTAGGAAGCTTGAGGTGATCATTAGATTACAAGAAAAAGAGAAAACTCTGGTCAGAGGAGCACACAATTATTTCTCGTGTGCCATTTGTGTTAGCCCTTTGAGGTAGTCCAGGCAAGAAGCACAACAGGGAATTTTAGTTTACTAGAATATTAGAATACAACTATGAAGGAGATGGGAGGGTTAGAAATAAGTAATATAAATAAATAAAAGTACTAACTATTTTTTCTCCATTTTTTTTTTGTTCAAAAAGTTAAAATACAAACTCCAAAACAAAACAAAAAAGAATATTTCCAAAAAGAAAACCCAATTGGACAAAGACATTAAAAAATAATGTCCATTAAAAATGAAAAACAAAGACACATAGACATATATTATTTCCCCTAGTTGAATACTGATACATATGTTACAACTATGGAAAGAAATATCCATCTGGTTCAGTTCCAAGCTGGGAGAAAGATATCAGAAACATGGAAGCTGATTGGAAAGATGGTTTAATGATGAAGCAGAACCATCAAGCACATGGTCCTGGTGCAGCTGACCACATGGAGTTGAGAGTGGGGGGTGGTGTTCTCTTGAGCTTGGCACTTGAGCTTCCTGTTCCTGTGCAAGAACATGTATTCTATTGGCTGTTGTCAGACTCCCATGGGCCCATGTAGGGGTTATGTAGGAGTCACAGCTGGTTCTACAGGCAAAGTACAAATCCTAGTTGTTTGCCTGAGGTAGGTTTGGTTGAACTTTGGACTGCTCTGAGGGTGATGCAATAATTCCTATTGTGGCTTAATGGCTTTGTCCTGTGTGGATCTTGAGTGATAGCTGCTTCTAATCCTACCATTCTGCTTTTGTTTCAAAATATCATGTCTTGAATAGATTACCAAATCTGCATTTCTAAAAGCTGGCCCCAGTATCTGCTGGGGCTATTAAGGAATGTGGAGGTTGCTTTCTGCCTCTAAAAAAAACATGTTTCTCCATTTTGCCCTTTGGGAAATATAATAATCTGCCTTTTTTTAATATTCCTCAAAAGTATTTAATTCTTCTAGGAGGGGGTGGCTTCCCACATAGCAATAATTGCTTCTTCACCTTGCAGACCAGGATCAGAATTTTTAATCTTTGTTTTATGTCTATTTGCAACCAGTTTGAACTGAAACATCTAGCTTTGTTAAACTTTGTTGTTCGTTTACCTGTTAACTATTTTTATAAATAGATGTATCGGGTCAAATTAGCTCTATTTTTATTGCATAATTACATTGATTAACAGAATCTTGCAAGACTGAAAGTATTTCTCCCCTCCTTTCCTGTTACTCTCCAGAAAACTAGGGAGGTATCCCTCTGAGATGCTTCCCAGATCCTCCTCCTTCAGGGGGCTGAGGTGTCTTTTCATGCAGGTTGTCCAGCGTGTAGCTCTTCTTTCTCTCTCCCAAGGTCATTCTCCCATGCCATTAACAATTTGTGGCCATTTCTGGAATTTGGGCCATGGTCACTCTTGTTAGCAACAAAATCAGATTTGGTGCAGCCACATAACCTGTTTGATAAGAATGGGAAAATGACCCCCCCCCCCAAATCAAGGCACACAAACGATAGAAGGAATGTGTTCCAACTGGATTCCTCATGATAAAAAACTAACTCCAGTTGAACATTGTCCTCTGGAACACCACAGATTAACACCCCTAAGATCAGATTGGCCCTGCTGGTCTTTTGTGAAGCACTGAAGACTTGGAGGCGATGCAGTGCATAGCCCAGGGGTCCCCAAACTTGGCAGCTTTAAGACTTGTGGACTTCAACTCCCAGAATTCTCCAACTGGCTGGAGAATTCTGGGAGTTGAAGTCCACAAATCTTAAAGTTGCCAAGTTTGGAGACTTCTGGCATAGCCTCTTGAGAAAGCTCTGTCAGTTATTAATCATTACCATCCCAATTCCATGCAAGCTGCCTCTAAGATGTTACACTTCAACAGAAACCCGGTACTTCTTGTTATTATGTCCCATTCATGTATTTATTTATTAGATTTTATCCCGCCTTTATGATTTTATAAGTAACTCAATCTGGCGAACATAATGTTGCTTCCTCCTCCTATTTTCCCCACAACAACAACCCTGTGAGATGAGTTGAGAGAGACCCATTGTCCCAAGATCACCCGGACAGCTTTCTTGTCTAAGATGGAATTCAAATTCACAAACTCCTGGTGATTGGCTAGATCAAACTGGCTCGATTTCCAGCAAATAGGAGGGCATAATGTATCAGATTGAAAATAAGCAACCACTGAGTTTCTGAGATCCACTTATAATGTTCCAGAAGAGTTTAGGGAACACTGGGGGTGGGTGGATGTAATGAATGAATGAATGAATTCTTTATTGGCCAAGTGTGACTGGACACACAAGGAATTTGTCTTGGTGCAAATGCTCTCAGTGTACATAAAAAGAAAAGATACATTCGTCAAGAGTCAAGAATCACAAGGTACAACTCTTAATAATAGTCATAGGGTACAAATAAGCAATCAAATCATACTAGGAAACAATCGTAAGGATACAAGCAACAAAGATACAGTCATACAGTCACAGGTGGGAGGGGATGGGTGATAGGAACGATGAGAGGATTAATAGTAATAGTAATGCAGACTTAGTAAATAGTTGGACAGTATTGAGGAAATCATTTGTTTAGCAAAGCTGGAATTCAGCTACCACTAATTCAATAGTAAGGCCTTTTTGGGATTTTTAAAGCAAACTAAAATTTACTCGAAGGTGAACATCTTTATTTTCATGTGTATGGTGGCACAAGGCTGCCAACCAATTTTTACCCATCTTGATCAGCAAAGCTTTCAGGATGCCACAATGGGCTCAAGGGTCATATGTGCCCTGAGGCTATAAACAGTCCACTGCAGTGAAAAATACTAATATTTGCTGAAAACTCAGCAGCCAGAAATTGGAGCTGGGAATTTCCAGGAATCCTCCGTAATGATTTTTTTCATGCTGTGGAGTATCTGGGAATTTGAAACCTTATTTTTTTTAAAATCAGATATATCAGTTGCATTATCTTAATTTGAGAAAAATCAGCAGAATCAGCAAAGCGATTGGCAATTCAGTCTGTGCTATAGCATCTTCTCCCATTCAAAGTGAGACATACACTCTGTACATGAATGAGGGTGGTTAATCGGTTGTTACATTACAGCGTCCAGCACGAAGTCCTTGGTCAAACTTAGGGCTACCACAACTGGGCTGCAAACCTCCAGGGAGCCATAGATGGCAGTCATGAGATACAAACCCTCTTTGTTGCCATCTGCTGGTCATACATATCTTTGCAGGCTGGATTTGGGAGCCCTCAATTATTGCAAAGCCCACAAAAGGGGGTGTGATGGAATAATCAGACTGTAAGGGTAATTCAGATCTTTATTGTATTGACTCCGGCAGGCCTTGTGAAGGAAACAACCAATGGCTCAACGGCTTTGCAACCCTGGCTGGTGGGATTAACCGCTGTTACGGTCTTCTTGTTTGTGATGTTCGTGGCAAACCTCATCCATCGGATATTTTTCTCCCAAAAGTATGTTTCTTCTAGATCTCTTTCTTTAGGTTTTAAGATCTCGCTTAACACATAACCGGAACAACCATTGATGGACTGATTATGTGCCTTCAAATTGGCATCAGCTCTTAGCAAACATGTTGATAGACCTTCTCTAAAAAGATCTGTCCCCCAACCAGGTCCTTCAGAACTTCTAATGCTGTGCCCACCAACACTGTAACTGAGCTGAGTCCATCCACCTTGCACACATGGGGAAGGGAGTGTGTCAAAAAAGCTAAGACAGGAGTTACAACACATGATTGTACTCTACCTCTTGTTTACATGTGTTGTGTGTGAGAGGTAAGTAAAAAGAGATAAGGCTTTAATTGCAGTGTCACAGCCAGAGTCTTGGCTTAGATTTCCCAGCTACAGTCCAAAATAAAGGCTGTTTCTGGATTACACGATTAGATCTCTTCTTGGTCTTCCCACCTGGCATGTATGACTGAAGCCTGACCTGTTTCATCTGATGAACACAAACATCACAAGCACATTAAGACTGGATTCCTGATCTGCTCCACTAGGAAAAGATAAAACACAATCAATTTCATGTAATCATCATTCTTGGTTACATAATTAACCCATTTTGCAGATTTGCCCAAAACACTGAACAACAAGCTAATCAAAGAGGCTGAATTTACACCACAAATCTAAGCTGCTGAAAAGCTCTCCTCCATCTCTAATCAAAGTTACAGCTAATCAAGTTGAGAGCATTGTATGAATGAAGGTCACCAGGTTTCTATCTGATTAGTGTGATGGTGTGATTGTATCTCTGTGTGTTTAAGGAGTGGAGCAAAGAAGGTCTTATATTTTGAGGGGTGGGGGCGGTTTCTACCCTGCTTTTTCATCCTCCCTTCCCTAATTCTTCATTAATATTGTTCCCTTTTGCAGAAAGGATGACAAGGATGAGATGGAGAACATAGAGACCAAACACAGGTAAATATTACTGCTTCAATAGATTTTTAAAACGCATTTTATGTCTTGGGTATCTAGTGGTGGAGCTGGTCAACCTGGTTATTCATGTTCCTCTCACCCAACCATGGGCTCGCACAAGTAATCCTTGACCTACAACCATTTATTTAGTGATTCAAGTTACAATGGCACTGAAAAAAAGTGACTTATGACAAGTCCTCACACTTACGGCTGTTGCAGTGTCCCTTACTGTCACGTGATTAAAATTTTGGCCCTTGGCAGCAGACATGGATTTACAACAGTCGTAACGTCGAGGAATCATGTGGCTGCCAATTGTGACCTTCTCAGCTGGCTTGTAACAAGCGAAGTCAATGCGAGAAGTTGGATTCGCTTAACAATTATGTGATTCACTTAACAACTGGGATGATTCGCTTAACTGTGATAAAAGAAAAACATAAAATTGGGCTGGATTTACATAACAACTGCCTTATTTGGAAATGGAAGTTCTGATTCCAATTATTATTATATGGTCATAAATTGAGGACCACCTGGGTGGCTCTGGCTGCTTTCATCAAAATGCGTCCCAGGGTTTGACATGCTCTCCCCTCTTCTTCAACATCTACATCAGTTTTTTCTCAAATTTGGCAACTTGAAGATGGGTGGGTTACAATTTAGATATGTTTGCATTATGTTTCATATATTTTGATGTGAGTGGTTTGGGTTGGCATTTTGATTAGTTAGTTCCCTTACTGTATTTCTATTTATTGGTGCTATTCTTACATTGTGAGCAAAGTCACCTTGTAATTAGGAGGGGCCAAAAATCAAAATAAATAAATAGCAATAGCCCTTAGACTTATATACTGCTTCACAGTGCTTTACAGCCCTCTCTAAGCAGTTTACAGAGTCAGCCTATTGCCCCCAACAATCTGGGCCCTCCTTTTACCCACCTCAGAAGGATGGAAGGCTGAGTCAACTTTGAGCCTGGTGAGATTCGATCTGCCAAATTGCAGGCAGCCAGCAGTCAGCAGAAGCAGCCTGTAGTTCTGCCCTCTAACCACTGTGCCACTGCAGCTCATAATATAATCAATATGACAAAACCAGCATAACTGTTGGGCAACAAGGCCTGTCCCTTCTGACTGTCATGGCCAACTATCCTAACATTCTGCTGCTTTTCACACTTCCTGTTTTGTTTTTTCCTCTTCTCCCCACAGCACTGAGCAAAATGTCTACGAAAACAAAGCAATGGACCCAGAAGAGGGGGATTTGGAAACCAATATGTAGGGGATCATAACAGCATGTAAAAGGTCTCCAAGGGGAAAGAGGACCAGCCGCCATTACAAAATGAATAGAATAGAATAGAATAGAATAGAATAGAATAGAATAGAATAGAATTCTAGTGTGATTGGACATACAAGGAACTTATCTTGGTGCAAATGCTCTCAGTGTACATAAAAGAAAAGATACATTCGTCAAGAGTCAAGAATCATCAGGTACCAGACTTAATGATAGTCATAGGGTACAATAAGCAATCAAATCATACTAGGAAACAGTCAATATAAATCGTAAGGATGCAAGCGACAAAATGACTGAATTCAGAATTATCTGAAAGACCTGGACAAGAATTTCCAGATTTAGCTGTTGTTTTTTTTAATTACCAGCACATCACTGCTTAATGATCCCTCGAAATTAGATGAAAGCAAAGCTAGCTCACAATAGCAACAGAAGTTGCCAGGGTGGTGACTACGTGAATACAGGTAGTCCTCAACTTATAACAGTTCATTTAGCGACTTCAAAGTTACAACACTGAAAAAAGTGACTTATGACCATTTTTCACACTTACGGCCATTGCAGCTTCCCCATGGTTCCATGATCAGAATGCAGACACTTAGAAACTGACTCGTATTTATGACCATTGCAATATCCAGTCATCTTTTGCAACCTTCTGACAAGCAAAGTCAATGAAGCCAGATTCACTTAACAACCATGTCACTAACGTCATAACTCCAGTGATTCACTTAACAACTGTGGCAAGAAAAGCTGTAAAATGAGGCAAAACTCACTTAACAAATGTTTCATTTAGCAACATCAGTTTTGGGCTCAGTTGTGGTAGTACGTCAAGCACTACCTGTATGTGTCCATGTTGTTCTCTTGGCAATAATGCAAAAAACGATTTGCAATTTCCTTTAATCCTGGACACTGTACATGTTTTCTGAGCTCCCACTATGGTCTCCCATTCAGGCTAGCACAGTAGCCCCCAAACTTTTTTGAACCAGGGACCGGTTTCACGATTATTTATTCTTCCATGGACCAGTACCTGAGTAACACAAGAGTCCACCGCCATCGGGACAGCTCTTCATTCGAAGCCACCCCACCCCCCTTTGATGAAACTAAGGCGCGAGCACCCAAACGCCGCTTTCCAACCGAAAACCCGGAAGCAACCGAAAACCCAGAAGCGCCGTCGAAACAAGATGGTGGCGCCCAAGCTTTGCGGCCCAGTAAAAAATGATCCACGGACCGGTACCGGTCCGGGGACCGGTGGTTGGGGACCCCTGGGCTAGCAGACTTGAGTGTTTAGCATCCAGGCCTAAGATAAGAGCAAGCCATCTAAATTTACATCACCAAAAGTAAGAACAGATGAATGAATACATAAAGAAATTCATTAAACTGTCATCTGCAGAAGCCGTCCGAAGTAAGTTGCTTCCTTGCAGTCGTCCATTTCTATTTGTTTATTCTAGGTTGCTCAGCTTTTGCATTATTGTTGTTGTTGTTATTATTTTTTGTGGGTGATAGTAAACGGTTCTCTGGATCTTTTTGAAAGTTACATATAGTTTGTTGTGGTAAAAGAGGCCCATGTTGAGAAATGTTTCAGATTGGGCTTGCTAAATAAGAAAAAAACTGGCTATCTGCCCATGTTCAAAAGGATGAGGGAATGAAGCAACCCTTTTGCTGAAGTGTCACAAACTCCAGAAATACACACTGTGCTTCAACGAAGAAGATCCCAAGGTCATGTGATGACAATTGACAACTTTTTTTTGCCAGAAACCAGCATTTATTTCTGGTTTCCAGGAGAAAAAACCCATTGCAGACAATTGCTTAATGGCTACCAGAAAATATGTTGTAAAATTGGATCTATAATATGATGACCTACTGAATGACTAGATGACTGATGGTCATAATTCTGGGCTCAATTGTGGTTGTAAGTCAAGAACTATCTGCATCTGGCAGAAACCAGAAACATGGGTGCAATTTTGCTCTTCTTTCCTTCCTTCCTTCCTTCCTCCCTCCCTCCCTTTAGGATCAGCCATGATAAATCAAATAAAACTCAACTGCTTTGTAGAACACATCACATGAAATATATTCACACGTAATCAGCTTCAAATATGTACAGTAAATCACATTTCACTTTACTGTGTTATTTGTAATGCATGAAAGTCATTTAATATAGAACAGGCTGCAAAAATCTGGACTTTAACAGATTAACAGAGTTGGAAGGGACCTTGTAGGTCATCTAGTCCAACATCCTGCCAAAGCAGGAGACCCTACACCATTTCTGACAAATGGCAGTCCAGTCTCCTTTTGAAAGCCTCCAAAGATGAAACTCCCGCAACTTCTGAAGGCAATATCCATTCCATTAGTTGATTGTTCTCACTGTCAGAAAATATCTCCTTATTTCCAGGTTGAATCTCTCTTTGTTCAGTTTCCATACATTATTCCTTCTCTGGCCTTCGGGTGCCTTGGAAAATAGGTTGATCTCTTCCTCTCTGTGGCAGCCCCTCAAATATTGGAGCACTGCTATCATGTCTACCCTGAAGTGAAAAAAGGGCAACCAAAAACCAAAGTTTTCTGTTCTCTTTGTTGCAATCTGCATCTTTTAGTATTGGGAAGCCATCATGCAAGCCAGGTGTACATGTTCATACTGAATTGGATGCAACTTTTTTCAGTAAGTTCCTAAGGACTAGAAACTTGAAATGATTTTTTTTTAAAGAACTACCTTCTACATTGTCATATCCCTGCTGATGGGAAACACTGGAAGAGGCACCTGGGGACAAGGTACAATGGCTTTTAAATTCCTCTCTTCCCTAGTAATCATGCACAAAGGCTAAGGTTACAAGCTAAGCTAAAAGCGTCAGTAGAAGCGTTGTAGAGCCAAATCACTGACACTGAAGCATCATGAGATGTACAGCGTTGACTTCAAGGGCTTCACGCCTTTCCACACTCTGGAAATTAGATTTGTATGATCCTATGCTAGATTTTGCTGAACATAAGGTGGAGCAGAGCCAGCTTCAGTAAGATGCACGGCATCCATCTTTGTGAAGGATATCTGAGTTAGACCCCAAATATTTTGAGGGGTATTGTTGAGGTAATTCCCCGTTAGGAGAATGAGCGCATACAGGGAGACGTATTTGAGAGAAGTGTTTGAATAATACACACACAGCACACAGATACACTGTACAGTAAATGTAGGTTTTTTACTTCCAGAAAGGTTTAAGCAAAGTCCAAAATAAGCAATCCAAAGTCATTCACAGGTAAAATCAGTCAGTTTTCATCCAGGGATAATCCAAATATCAAATTCCAGTGTCAGAAACAGTTCAGTATCAGACTTACATTAAATCCAGTAATATCAGTCAATTAGAAGAAATGGAGGAATGGCAATATTCTCCAACAGAAGGAAAAAGAGATACAGTCACACTCTCTTCTGAGACTAAGACAACCCAGGTTCCTGGCTCCATTTTATGGCTGTTTGAGAAACCACACCCAATTGCATGCTCTTGCATTCCCTTAAAGATATAGTACTAAAATGTTTATCCTTGTTTATATATTTCTAACCCAAATAGCTGTTAGGTGACTCATATTCCTAACAGGTATTTTTGTTGCAACTGATAACAAAGGAAGCACTTCTGGGAACGTTCAGAATGGTTGGTTAGTCTGCCTAGTTCAGTGATGGCGAACCTATGATGTGCGTGTCAAAGCTGACACAGCGCAACCTTTTGGTTGGCAGCATACACCAACATCCAACAACAGCTATTCCTGAAAGCACACTGCATTCTTGCACAATTTTCAGAGGCTGTGGAGGCCCTGTGAGAATAGGATGTGCTCTTGTGCAACCTCCAGTATGGTAATTTTTAATACAGTCTGGTAAATATCTATAAATATAACCCAAACAAAAACTCTTGGGGGCGGGGGCTGAATAATTTTTAAAAGTAGAAAGGGGCCTCGGGAGAAAAAAAGGCTTAGAAAGACTTTACCTAGAAGCCCATTTGAGAATGTTACCAACTTTTCAATGAGGTCTGCGCTCATGTGTGCTTCACAGCAAATCCATTTGCATAGGGGGCAAGTGAGGACTCTACAGGTAGTCTTTGACTTACAACAATTCATTTAATAACCATCCAAAGTTACAACTGTACTGAAAAAAGTGACTTATGACCATCCTTCACACTTACAAACCATGATCACGTGATCAAAATTCAGACACTTAGCAACTCATATTTATGACTTTTGCAATGTCCCGAGAGGTCATGGGATCCCCTTTTGCAACTTCTGACAAGCAAAGTCTTGGGGAAGCCAGATTCGCTTAACAACTGTGTTATTCACTTAACAACTGCAGTAATTCACTTAACAACTGTGGCAAGAAAGGTCATAAAATGCGGCCAAAGTCCCTTAGCAAATGTTTCACTTAACAGCAGAAATTTTGGGCTCGGACTTCCTATATTTCCAGTCATAAGGCAATTGGAGGGGTGTGTCAGATACTCCGGATGTCATGGAACTACGACCTCCAGAATCCATCTCTATGACGATGCTGGGAGTGGGAGCCCTGGGGTGTCTGTCTGAACAAAAAGCTAAAGATCTTAGGAATTAGTGCAAATCTAAAAATGCACAAATAGGGCATAAAATGGGCCAAAACTGTGGAAAGCAAACTTTTGCTTTCTTTGGGTAAGCTGGCAACGTGAGTGTTGTGGAGCGGCGGTAGAGATTCAGACAGACACAGGCTCAACATTAACAGACTTTATTCTAGCGAATAAAGGGTCGCCGCGGCTGCCGAGGCTAACTGGCAGTCAGCTGGCGGCGACAGCTGATGCCGTTTGACAGCTCCTTTTATAGCCGGCTGTCAAACGGCATCAACCAATGGGAGCGGTCGGCGCTCCCGCGCAGGCGGCGGACCAGAGTGAGGACTGCCGTCAGTCTTTGAACACAGCACTCCTTTCCCCTGGCCAGGAGCATGCGTGGTCCTGCAGCCAGGTAGGCCGCCTTCGCTCGCGGCCAGATCGCCGTAGTTCAAGGGGCTTGCCGGCTGGTAAGGAGTCCCCTGCTCGCTGGGTGTCGCCTGGAGCTCGTCGCTGGTCTTCCGAAGCCCTTGTCCGAGTGTCCTGCTGCTGACCAGGTAGGTCCCTCCGATCGGCTCGCTGCGGGGACGGCTCGGGGCTTGGCAGGTAGACCGGGTCGTCTGGTAGGGAACCGTTTGCGGCCGCTGGGTAGACCGGTTCGCTCGGCGGGTTGGCTTCAGCATGCGGCTGGTAGACCGGGGTGTCTGGCGGTCCTTGGGAGTCAATGGCAGCTCTTTCCCAACGCCTCCTTAACTGGTCGATGTGCCGGCGCCATACTCGACCATCCTCCAAGAGGATCCTGTAGGACTTGGGTCCTGTAATGGAAACTATTTGCCCTGGCATCCATAGAGGGTGCCCTGCATAGTTCCTGGCATAAACCAGGTCCTGCAGGGCAAATTCCCTGGCATGGCTGTCAGAGCCTAGAGGGGTGCCAGGGGCATAGTGGGGGTGCAACCTGTCCAGGGTGGTCCTAAGGCGTCTGCCCATCAATAGTTCTGCAGGGGACTTGTTGGTAGTGGTGCATGGAGTTGAATGCTGGGTGAGCAAGTAGGTGGACAGTTTGGAGTGCCAATCTGCTTGGCCAAATCTTGCCAAGGCTTCCTTTATAGACCTAACAGCCCTCTCAGCCATCCCATTGCTTGCAGGGTGAAAAGGGGCTGTGAGGGTGTGCCTTATGCCCAGGTTGGCTGCGAAAACTCCAAACTCACAAGAGGTGAACTGGGGGCCATTATCAGATATCAAGGTGTCAGGGAGGCCATGCGTAATGAACAGTCTGGTCAGGGCTCTTGTGACAGCCAGCGTAGTTGTGGAGGGAAGCAAGGCCACATCAATCCATTTAGAGAACGAGTCTACTATGACTAAAAAGGTCCGCCCATGCACAGGGCCAGCTAGGTCAACATGCAGCCGGGACCAAGGGTGCCCCAGCATCCTCCCATCGGGTTGAAACAGCTGTTGGAGGTGCTGATCTAGTTGCCTGGCAGGGCTGGCACGTGCTTACCCAGCTGGAGATCCGGGCATCCAGGCCTGGCCACCACACGTAGCTGCGGGCCAGAGCCTTCATCCTCACGATGCCAGGGTGGCCTTCGTGCAGGGCTTTTAAAATTGGCTCTTGGAGTGAAGTGGGGATGACCACTCTTGTCCCCCATAGTAAGCAACCCTGTAGTGAAGATAACTCTTGCCTGCGGGTCTTAAATGGCATGAATTCAGGGGTGTACTGAATTTCAGGCCACCCCCTCCCCACCCAGTCCAGGACTTGGGAGATTACCTTGTCCCTTCTGGAGTGGGCAGCAATATCTCCGGCTGAGACTGGCAGGTTGAGTTCGTTGCAATCAAAAATGGCATGGATGGGCGCGGGGTCTTCCACTGGTGTTGGCAGGGGGCACCTGCTGAGGGCATCTGCATGGCACAGGTTCTTCCCCAGGCGATGTACCAGCTTATATGAGTAGGCGGCTAGGAACAGGGTCCATCTGGTCATCCTCGGGGATAGTACCTGTGGGGTTTGCTTGTCTCCTGCTAAAAGGCCTAAAAGTGGTTTGTGATCTGTTAGAAGCTCAAAGTAATGACCATAAAGGAATTTGTGGAATTTTTTCACAGCAGCAACTGCTGCTAAGGCTTCCTTATCAATTTGACTATAGTTCCTTTCTGCTGCAGAGAATGTTCTTGAGAAGAAGGCAATTGGGGCCTCGGAGCCATTTGGCAGCCTATGGCTGAGTACTGCCCCTATGCCAAACGCGTCTGCAGCTAAAACCAGGGGAAGTCGTTGGTTAAACTGGACTAGTACTGCATTTGAGGTTAGCAGGGATTTGACCGCTTGGAAAGCATTGGCTTCTCTTTGTCCCCAGTGCCAGGGGGCTTTCTTATCTAAAAGTCTATGCAAAGGTTCAGCTATAGAAGCCTTGTGTGGAAGAAAAGCTGCGTAGAGGGTTTGGGGGAGTAGTGGTTAGACAGGATTCCCTGCAACTCCTCCCAGGGAATAGCCTTTATAGAGCGTGGAGATACTAGTGCGGAGGCTGTATCAAAAACAGCAGCCCCACAGAAACTCAGAAAATAGGATCGTTTCCTTAGGTCGGTGGCTTCTGTCAGGTCGATAGCGTTGAGGAAGCACTCGAACCGGTTCATATACGACTCCCACGTCTCGCCCGTCGGCTGGAAAGGAGGGAATGTCGGGTTTGAGCCCATCTCGAAAGCGGCAGTGTTGGTCTCCTCAGCTGAGGGAGCTTTAAATTCGCGCTTTTAGAAAAGCACTTGCGGCTGCGCCTGTCAGGCGGCATCTGACTCCTCAGCTGGGGAGTTTGAACTTCGCGCTCGTGGAGAGCGTCAGCGGCGGTGACGTTATTCAGCTCTCAGCGGCTTCGGCTCTTTTTGACAGTGACTGTGCTCAGCTGTCTTTGCCTGGTTGTCTCTTCGTCTCTTATCGTATCCCGCCCTCGTTGCCAGTGTTGTGGAGCGGCGGTAGAGATTCAGACAGACACAGGCTCAACGTTAACAGACTTTATTCTAGCGAATAAAGAGTCGCCGCGGCTGCCGAGGCTAACTGGCAGTCAGCTGGCGGCGACAGCTGATGTCGTTTGACAGCTCCTTTTATAGCCGGCTGTCAAACGGCATCAACCAATGGGAGCGGTCGGCGCTCCCGCGCAGGCGGCGGACCAGAGTGAGGACTGCTGTCAGTCTTTGAACACAGCAGTGAGGTTCAAAGAAAGAGACCCCTGGAATTCAGCTCCTGGAATTGGGAGTGTGGAGACTGCTGATCCATAGCCAAAGATTGGACAAGCCTGAACAGCTGATGATGAATCAGACTCCCCCTTGATACAATTCATCCAGGAAGTGTCTATGGAAATCCTCGGTCATCCAGGTCATGGTTGTCCCAAAGGTGCTTTTTTTTTTTTTTTTTTTCAAGAGGCAACTGGACTTTCTGGTGTTTTTCTTTGGAGACATTTTGCTTCCCATCCAAGAAGCTTCTTCAGCTCTGGCTGGATGGGAGGAAATGGAAGGATTTATACTTCTTACAGACAGCTGGTCATTTGCATTCTTTTAGTGAATCATTAAGGCCACCTGGAGGTTTATCTCAGAGTCATCTGAGTGATGCAAAAAGGCGTGGAGCCTTCTTGGATCTGCTGACTGTGTTGTAGACCGGATATCATACCTCTCTCCCTCTGTTGAGAGAGGGCTCTTCAATTTTGAACAGATAGCTTCTTTTACCCCTCTTTCAAACCAGCGATCCTCTCTGCCCAAAATGTCGACTTTGCTGTCTTCAAAAGAGCGGCCTTTGTCTTATTAAACGCAGATGGGTTTGTTCTCCTATGTTGTGCCATGCGTTTATGAAGTGGTTGTTTTGTTTCCCCAACGCACATAGATTTGCACGTGGCTCGTTGCTCAGTTTATGCCTGGGTGTTTTCTCCTTGGGATGGACAAACTTCTGCCTTAAGTGTATTCTTGGGTTTGAATCCAGGAGTCGATTTTGCTTTCGCTGGAGAAATTCGCCAACCCGAAAAGAGGAGCGAAAGACACGAAGCCGGCTGCTGTCTTAAACCGAGCCCTCCTTTGAGGCGCGGCTTCTTCGCAGCGCAGCCTCTCCATTGGCTCCCTCCGCGAGGCCATTGGAGGAGGCGCGGCTATCTGCTCCGGGGCGGAGGCAATTGGGGGAGCTGCGGTGCAGACTAAGTGGTTACGTAGCCGGCCACCAACCCGGGGGCTTCCCCGGAGCCGATAAAAACGGTTCTGCGGTCTCATGGCTGGGTTGTTCCCCTCAGGAGCTACGGCTTTCCTTGCTTTTCCCGCCAGGCCTGGACCTGGCGCTTCCCCCGCGCGCTCCAGCTGATGCGCCCTGCCGGTGCGTTTTTACGCACAGCTGGGGCCATCGGGCTCCAGGCCCCGGCGCTGTGAGCCGCTCCTCGCCTCTCCTGTAGGATGGACGCTCCGCCGCCGCTGCCCCTTCGCGACCGGCTGAGTTACTCAGTGGGCCATTTCCTGAACGACTTGTGCGCCTCGATGTGGTTCACCTACTTGCTGGTCTACTTCCATTCGGTGCTGGGCTATAGTACCCAACATGCGGGGGCGCTGCTGTTGGCGGGGCAGGTGGCCGACGGCATCTGCACGCCCCTGGTGGGCTACGAGGCGGACCAAGCCGGCGGGTGTGGGCGCTACGGGCGGAGGAAATCCTGGCATCTGGCTGGTAAGTCGGACTAAAAACAAAAACACTGGACGGGCTTTGCCCCAGTTAGACGCAGGCAGGATGCGGTGACCGGAATTTAAAAAGGTGGCTCTTAAGTTGGAGTAAGCTGTTTGTAAAGAGAAAGCGGATAAACCGGAATGAGCAGAGAAGCCTGGGATCGATGAAGTAGCTTCGCCGGCTCAGATCGAGTGATGCTTGTTTTCCGGCATGGGCTAACTGGTGTGAAACGAAGCGAGTAGGAAACAACCCCATCCCGGTTTTGGCAATTTGAAGATGCTGGCTGGGGAATTCTGGGAGTTGAAATCCACACACCTTCAAATTGGCCACGGTTGAGAAACACCGGTTAATAGTGATCTGAATCTCTCCAAATAAATGGAGCAACATGCTGATGTTGCTTGGAGATTCATGTATTTCAACATCATGACAAGAGACCAGTTGGATTCTGCAAGCGAGGTTTGCAACAATTCTCACTGTTCATAATATGAATGAATATGATTACAGATGGGAACTCTGGCTAATGAGTAGAAATATCGGAGTGCTGGGCTTAACTCTGGGTAACTGGTGGCATGAAAATGGTCAAGACACTCCAGTTGCTTGGCTTCCTGGACAATCATGGAGGCTCCATTTGCAGAGTGCATCCATTAGCCTTTAATAGATTACTATAAATTAAGAGCAAAAGCCTGCTTTCCCCGTAACACAATTCATTTCACTGCCATATTGTCTTGTTATTTGGCTAAAATGATTTTAAAAAGCATACTGGGCAAAGTCACGGATCTAAGATATTGTAGGGTCTCCTGCTTGAGTAGAGGATTGGACTAGAAGACCTCCAAACTCCTATCCAAAGCTGTTATATCTTACACTCTTCTAATGCCAACTAAGCGCAATCTCCCTGTTCAGGTATAGTCTATCCTTGATTGTGACGTGCTAGGGGAGGGCACCAGCAGAGGAAAGCTGGTTACTGCTGTTATGCTTTGCTCACGTGTTTGTAGGGTGTCAGCTGATCTCTGCATTCATAGATGTCCTAATGATCTCTTGCTTATCTGTTAGAGCAGAGTTCTCTCCAAATGTAGAGATAAACAGCAGCTTAGCTTCCTTCTGGACTGTTGAGCATTTAGGTTACTAAATGGTTACTCTTCTTTATGCATTTACATTCTTTATATGGCTGTCCCTCTCACAGCAGTGACTCTAGCTGGCCTACACAATTAAAGCAGCCAAAAAAGCCAATGCAATCCTAAATTGTATTAACAGAGGGATACAATTGAGACCAAGCGAGGTACTAATACCACTCTATAAAGCCTTAGTAAGGCCACACCTAGAGTACTGCATCCAGTTTTGGTCACCACATTATAAAAAAGATGCTGAGCCTCTAGAAAAAGTACAGAGAAGAGCAACCAGGATGATTAGGAGATTGGAGACTAAAACATATGAAGAATGGTTACAGGATCTGGGCATTGGCTAGTCTAGTGAAGAGAAGGACCAGGGGAGACATGATAGCAATCTTCCAATATTTCAGGGGCTGCCACAGAGAGGAAGGGGTCAAGCTATTTTCTAAAGCACCTGAAGGCCAGACAAGGAATAATGGATGGAAACTGAACAAGGAGAGATTTAACCTGGAAATAAGGAGAAACTTTCTGACAGTGAAACTTTCAAGAAGAGATTGGACTGCCATTTGTCAGAAATGGTGTAGGGTCTCCCACTTGGGCGGGGGTTTGGACTAGATGACCTACAAAGTCCCTTCCAACTCTGATTATCTGTTAAAGATAACAAATCAGACCAAATAATAAACATCTGAGATTGCCAACAGAAGGTTCTAGGCTTCACAGTAAAAACCTGAATTAGAGATAACCTTATGATTATTTGGAGGTTAATGGTTATAAATGTGGTGTTTACTTGATGTTTATAATGTTTGATATTATTAGTGGATTATGAATAAAATTGAACAGAGGGCCTAGTCAAATAATGCAAAATTTTTAAAAAGGATAAATGAAGATGAAGGTGAATAGGTATTGAGAATAATAGTTACAACTATTGTGTGTATAAGATTTACTGTCTGTATTCAATAGAGATTGTAGAAACTGTACCCAGACGGTATACTGTTATTGTGAATATATAAATTTTATATATAACCAAGAAAATTGTACAATAAAAAATAATAATTAAAAAAAATGAGTTAGAGAGTTCACATTAACCTTCCAGCCCCAAAGTTTGGAGGAATAGCCAGCTTTGGAGTGCTTTGTAAAAAAAAAAAAAAGGCTAACAAGGTGGAACCCATCCAGACCTCTGGAGAGATGAAACTCTATGGGTAAGCGCTGTAAATTACAATGCCTGATTCCAACAAGATGACATTGTTAATGGAAAGGACTGGAGCATGACCTCTCTGCCAGCACTGCTGGGGCGAGCAGAGATGATGAGTTTTATGTTGGTAGCTTCCATTAATGAATAGTTCTTTGTCTGGAACGAGACTTGCTTTTGTCAAATGTGAGCCTGTAGTTCAGGGTGTTTTAGTAGAGTGGCTCCAAGCTTGCAAATTTTAGAAGTGTTATGTTATCCTCCCATTGCTTTTGCAGAATTGCAAATCCCCAATAATAATTGCAATACATTTTGATCAAGGTGTGGTTCGTAGCAACGCAAGAATCAACACAAGAACTGCAAACCAATCCCATAAAATGTGCTCAGAGCTTAGTACAGGGGTGTCAAACTGGTGGCCTGCGGGCCGGATGCGTCACGCACAGGCCACGCCCACCCCAGCTCCGCGAATGAGAAAAATGTTGGGAAATGTCACGTGACAGCACCGTGACGCGGTGAGTTTGACATCCATCCGTGGCTTAGTAAATGCAAATGCAAACGTTAATACAAAGTACTTAACAACACAGTATCCAAAACAGTGTTTTGGAATAAGACCTGGTGCATGTACGCCCGAAGTAATTTAAAACAGGTGTTATTTTGGAACTATCATCTAAGTAAGAGATTGACAGATTCTATGCCTTTGCCCTTGTCAGATAATACCATCATCTTTTTTCCAACTCTGATTGTTACTGATGATTTCTGCCCTCAAGTTGGGATTGATTCCTAGGGGCTACCTAGATTCTGCTTTAGCAACTATGGTTAGTCCTCGACTTACAACAGCTAATTTAGTGACTGTTCAAAGCTACAACAGCACTGAAAAAAGTGATTTATGACCATCTTTCACAGTTCCAACCTTTGAAGCATCCTGATGATCATGTGACCAAAATTCAGATGCTTGGCAACTGGTTCATACTTATGACCGTTGCTGTGTCCCAAGGTCACGTGATCAGCTTTTGCATCCTTCTGACAAGCAAAGTCAACAGGGAAATTGGATTCACTTAACAACTCTGTTACTCACTTAGCAACTGCAGTGATTCATTTAACTGTGGCAAGAAAAGTTGTAAAACGGGGCAAAATTCATTTAACAAACGTCTCGCTCTACAACCGAAATTTTGGGCTCAATTGTAGTTGTAAGTCGAGGACTATCTGCATTGCACTGAATGTAGGCTCATACGCTTATGAGATTCTTGGAGATTATAATTTGAATAGAATCTTGATGAGGGTTTTTGTTCCCAGGCAGAGCAAAAACGCTAGAATTAATAAAGCAGTCTTTTTTTAAAAAAAACACCAGCCTCCTGGCTTGATGGGAAAGAAACTCATTGCATGCCCAGAGGAAACTCCTCTGCTTGTGTTTTGCATTTGGAAGAGATTTCTTTCCAGGTGGGGAGGGGGAGTAGAACTCCTTAGCATCAGAGCATGTTAATAATAATAAAAATAACATAGGAAATACTAATGCTCTGATGGTCATTTGGAAAAATCCTTTCTTAGTGAGCATCTAGAAGCCAAGAGGAACAGAGTAGAGCGGAGACTTCCGGTGGCAAGGCAAGGACGGTCAGAGGGGCAGAAATCCGCTTGTGATTCTAGCCATCCTTTTCTTGAGTTTGGTGCGATCTTTCGGGGTGCTCAAGTCTTGGAGAAAAGTTTCATTCTTCTAAAGCAGATGCTGTCTCATTGCCTTCTGCAGCCAGCATTAGAAAACACCTGGCATGCTGGAGCTTAAAATAAGTGTACACTGATATTTTAATATGGGTGGTTTATATGAGGATTCCATGGTAACGTTATAAAGAAGGGCCATTGTTCCTAGATGTGAGGTGAGAGGTTGGACAATGCAGGAGTAGAAGAATATCTGGTCCTAGATCTCCGTAAACACATGACTGAGTTTATCACTCTGTTACTCATTTCTGTTTCCCTTCAGTCACATGCTAGAATCCCAACTGCATTGTTCCTAATTCCTGTATGTGACACAAAACAAGCTTGATCTTGAAATTTTTTCCCGTGAGTCAGCAAAGCAAAGATTTGGCAAAAGTGTCTTTTTGCTTGGCTACAGAAATCGAATAAATAAATACATGACTTCTCATTCCCGAATCCCCTCCAGAGCAGCATAAATAGAATTTTGCCAGAGTGAGCTAAGGAGTCTGATATTCATTCCTGTGGATTATTTCCTCCCACCATCCTTACACAGAGTGCAACGTTGTTGTGAGGAAGGCCAAGACAGCCAGTTTGGTGTAGTAGTTAAGGACCTGGGCATTGGTGGGATTCAAATAATTTAATAACCGGTTCTCTGCCCTAATGAGTTATTCCAACAACCAGTTTGCCAAATTGCTCAGAAAGTTAACAACCAGTTCTCCTGAAGTGGTGCGAACTGGCTGAATCCCACCACTGGACCTGGGCCTAGAAACCACGAGACTGTGAGTTCTAGTCCCACCTTAGGCATGAAAGCAGGCTGGCTGACTTTGGGCCAGCCGCTTTCTCTCAGTCCAGCTCACTTCACAGTATTGTTGTAGGGAAAATAGGAGGAAGAAGGAGTATTATGTGTGTTTGGTCTTTGAATTACTTACAAATCAATAAATGTGCAATAAAAATCAACTGATCAGGGGAAATTTGTTTCAGTACTCTTGGAGGCAAATAGAGAATTGGAACGTAGCTCTTGCAGG